CACACTACCTAGTTTTTCCCCTTTGACCTCTAGCCCTCCCTAATATTAATTATATATTCCATTAATTGTCTGATCACCACCCCTAGCAACAGGAAGGCTCCCTGAAGAAGCCTGATTTTGTTCCTTGAGTACTCTGTCCTCAGCACCTAGCTTGCTTGTGTCTGCACTAAATTAGTGCTCAGTGAATGTTTGTTGAATGAATAAGTAAATGAACGGACATCTCCCAACCCTTATACTCAATGACCGGTTTTGTTCACATGTCTTCCCTCCTCTCCTATTCATCAGACAATCAAATCCAGCAGCCTGTATTAGTTTTCTTAGGGCTGCTGTGACAAACAGAAATTTATTATCTCACCATTCTGGAGAGGAAGTGTAAAATGAAGGTGTCAGCCAGCCCGTGCTCCTTGGGAATGCTATAGGGAGAGATTTTTTTTCTTGCCTTTCCCAGTTTCTTGGCTTGTGGCAACATAATCCCACACTGGCCTTGTCTTTGCATGATGACCTTTCTCCCTATATTTCTGTGTCTTCACATGGCATTTGCCTCTCTGGATTTCTTCTTTTTTAAGGACACCAATTGCATTAGATTAGGGCGCACCTAAAGACTTCATTTTAATTATGTCTGGGAAGACCTTTATTTCCAGATAAGGTAACATCCACAGGTGTGAATTTGCATTTACATTCACTGAGGATTGGGGCTTTAACGTATCTTTTGCAGGGACATAATTCAACCTATAACAGAGGTGATCTATGGAACACTGAAAAAGGATTCGGGCAAACTAAGCAGGACAGGGAAGAAGACACAACGGCAGCTGTAAAGGTCAGCCATGTGCCCTCGTTGAAGGTCCAGAAATAACATTTCCAGGTGAAGTCTCCTTTTCTTAAAGAGGGAACAATATGTCAACTTTAAGGGTTTGAACAGGAGTGATCTCTATTCCTTCTTGGCCCTTTTCCAAGCTGTAAACAGTCCCACTTCCGGACGCTCCACAAAGCATTTTAATCTGACTGAATGTGGGCTTCTGGGAAATGTAAATCTGTCAGGGACCGCACTAAGCCTTGACCTGCTTTCTCTTGTCTATGGTAGACAATTCACCTGTGAGCTAGGTCTTACTGTTCATTGAATTTTACATTAGAAGCTGAGGTTCAGACAGGTTAGGGATCAGGCTCACAGCTTCTCTGTGCCTGACCTGGAATTCATAACCAGCTCCATCGAACTCCAGAAAAATTGCCAGGAAAGCCAGAGGTACTCTTTCATCAGTTGTGTGACCCAAGAGGGCAGAACTGTAAGGCATGAGTGGAAGTTACAAGGAGAGGCAACAATTCAGCTACGATTTAGGAAAAATTCTCTAATGCTTAGACTTCTGATTCTCTGATATTTAGAATTAACAGTGTTTCCTGATTTAGCTGCTTCTGCCACTAAGCGATTTCTAGGCCGTTTAGATTCTCAGTGTCCTTCCCAAGCCCACCCCTCTCTGAGGGAGACGGAACTCTTTGTGCACAAGTGGGTTTTTCTGAGAAAAGGTCCGCTAGAGTTTCTGAGCGGTAGGAGATATAAGACCAGGAGGCTCCCTTATGAGGAATGAAGGTCGGGGCCTGCAGCAAGAGCGGGGGCAAGAATTTGCGGCTGATGTTCAGTCTCGGGATTGGCATTCTCTTTGCCCTACTCTTGCTATTCAGCGGTGGGCATTTCTGCCTGGCTGCTGACCCTGTGCCTCACACTGTCTTCCTGAACTTCACTTCTCCGTGTTGAAGAACCGCCCCCAGCTCTGCCTCTCCTCTCTGCCTCTGGCCAATGTCCACGCACCCTGACCTCCGGCCTCCAACAGGAAGGTGTTGGAAACCAGCCGTGCTCCTTCCGGAGCTTTGAAATAAAGTTTCGGCTGTTATTCCTGGAGAAACCATGCTTGCCGGTGCCGGTGCCGCTGCCGCTGCCGCTGCCGCTGCTCCCTGCCACAGTCCGCCGTTCCTTGGGAGCACTTGCATTTTGTAAGGAGCCGCATCTGAGTCATTGATTATTGGGACTGGTCCCCTTCTTTCCTCAGAGAGGGGTCTGTTCCAGGCTCACTTTCTTTTCGGAAGGTCAAAAGTGCGCGTGTGCTTGGAGTGCAGCGAGGTTCCCGGAAAATGGTATTGGAGTCCAAGTAGCAGGAAAAAACACTAGCATTTAATGAGCTCACACCATCTCCAGACTCTCCCAACAATCATTGTCTCGCCGGGTCCTCAACAACCACCTACGTGATAGGTAAGGCTCTCGGCTGCAGGTCGGTCTTCCCCCCCTTTAGTAAGGGCAACTCCCAGCATCAGAGAGGTCAGGCGATTAGGGAGCTTCTTTGCCCAAGGTCCCAAAGCTAGAATGCAAACAAGTCCTGGAGACTCGGGATTCGAACCCGACTCAAGGCCATATCATTCACTGCTGCTTTCAAAAGAGGAAGAATTTGGAGGTCGAAGAGCTGGGCTCCTTTTCTCTTTCGCCCTCCCTCAGTCGCTGCCGGACTTCAAGCTCCATGTGGGTAGGGAGCTAGGGCGCCCTCGGCTTACACCCAGCACCGGCACACATTGGGCGCTCGCGAATGGTCCTCCCCGGCGACACTGGAAGGAGATGGTTCCCCATTTGTCGGAGGCTCCTGAGCTTGCGGGCAACCAAGCAGAGGCCACTGCATGCAGTGGGTGTGGACGAGCTGGGTCGAGCTGGGAGCCCAGCACCCGGATCGAGACGCGTCTCCGGTTCCCACGAGCATGGAGACCCGGCCCCGGCAGGCTCCGGCTTGGGACCACCGGAGCGGCCCGCGCCGCAGCCGAGCCTCCGCGTCCTGCTGCGCACGCGCGGCGCCGGCCCGACTCCGCCCCCCCGAGTAGGGACCTACAGCGGGCGCGGCGGAGGCGGAGGCGGTGGCGGCCTGCGGCCGGCGGTGTAGACGCCCCTTCCCGGGAGCTGGGACCCGCCGGCCGGGTGAGTGGCTGCGCCGGAGGGCGAGGGCCCCGGGTTCGCGCACGGGACGGGCGGAGTGGGCCGGGGGCGCGGAGGCGGCTGCGGGGGCCGCGCGAGGCCGGAGACGGCCTGAGGAGGCCGCGCCGGGGCGGGACGGGGCGGGCAGTCCGGGGCCGGGTCGTGCGGGCCACGGTCTCCGCGTGTCGCGCGGTCGACCGGCCTGCCGCGTCGTAGCGTGAGGGCCCCCGGGGCGGGCTGGGGACAGACGGGGGCTCCGGGCCGGGGGCGGCGCAGACCCCGGGGCCGCGGTGGCGGCGGCATGCGGGGCCTTTGTGCCGCCGCGACCCCGCAGGCTCGCCCCCCGCGCGTCGGTCGCGAGTCGCGGCGGCGGCGTGCGGGCTGCGGGGCCGCGGGTGTGGAGCCGCCGAGCCGGCCTCCTCCGCCCGCCCCCAGCGTTTTAAATGATGCATCTCCTGCGAGGATTTCTACCGGTCGCTCCGAGCAGGAAGTGTCGTCAGGAGGCCATTTTTAAAGCCTCCTGCGGGCCTGGGAGGTAAGCGTTGACGTGGTGGGACTCTCCGTCCGTAGTTGGAGGAGACCCCGCAGCCCCGCCACGGCCTGATCGGCCCCGGGAGACCACGCAGTGAGCCCCTGCGCCCGCGCCTCCCTTCCTGGCACCACGCTGTTAGATGAGGACTCGCCTTGGAGACCGTGTGCCCTCGGTGTGAGAGTGCCAACAATAAACTTGAAAACCGGACTGGCATTGTCTTTCCTTGGGAGTTGCGCGGCCTGTGTCCCGGGATGGGCTTGTGCACGGAGGACCTGGGCACCTTCTGCCGGAGAGGGGAGTCAGGGGAGGGTGGATGGTGAAGGTTTGACTTGCTCCGACGCTGATGCAGCCTTTGTGAGACCTCGCCATCCCAGCTGTCCTTTCTCTCTTGCGATCTTGGATTGTTGGGCAGTTTCAGTCAGGGTGCAAAGGAGTGACTATTTCTTCACCGGAAAGAGAAATCAAAGGAGAGATAGAAAGGGAACACTTAAGTTCCTCTGTGTAAATGTAGCGCATTAAAATAACGCTGACTTTAAAAACTGGGATAATGAACAATTAGCCTAACATTAAACAAGTTAAAAAGTGACTTAGCACTTTGTCCTCTATTTAAAAGTCTACACAGCTGAACTGTAACGTGTTACAGCCTTTAAGAATTATATCTCTTGAGTTTAGAACTTAAGTCACCAAGGTGAAGACAGCCGTGGTCTCCAGGAGCTTGTCCTGCTTTCCTAGAGGAAAGGAGGAAGAATAAGAATGTATGTCTTTTTCTTTCTCAGAGTCAGGGATGCAAAGTTCAGCCCCTCGGTCATGTGTGTACACAATAGGAGATACTGGTGGAGGGTTCTCGAATCCCAGCAAATAGTTGTTTAGAAATCAGTGTCATATAGTCTCTTCAGAATGCCAGGAGAACGTTAGCCTGTTTTAATCATCTGATATTGATGTTCTTTTTCACCTAGGATGCACTCTTTAAAATTATTTCTTATCCTAGATATAATATAGCCTTGAAAGATAACCCTTTTGTATGTATCCGGTTTTGTTATGCTGATAACATTCATTACAGATGCATTTTGAAGACAGACAAAGGAGTGTATTATTCCATTGAGCCTCCTTCCTGACATTATGTCAAACTAATGTATATTTTTAAAAATTCAGTGATACCAATGTGGGGGGGCAGGGGAAATGCCAGGATCTGCCCTAGTATATTTGCCTTTAAGTAGAGATCCGGGCCAGTTTTGGGGCAAGAGGAAGAACAAAGAACATTTTCATGATCGTTGCCATGAAGGCTGACATTTCATTCATTCACTCATTTACTCATTCATTCCCTCAACCAGTATGTATTGAGTGCCTCCTGTGCCAAGCCCTGTGCTGTTGATGGGTAAACAAAGTCCTCAGAGTGAGGCCTCCTAGTTTTGACTGTTCTTAAGCTGCCTGGGGTAGACTGCATTTTCTTTGTTCACATATGCCAGCCCAGCTAATTGCAATTTCCAGAAGCCATCCTTGGAATGAAGGAGGGGGTCCAGAGACTGTAATCCAGATGTTCTCATCATGGAATAGGGGTGGCGAGGCAGCAGAATCACCTGGAAAAAGTTGTAAACCGCGTGCTTCAGCCCATTTCAGGAAAAGAGCAGTCTGATTTATTAGGTCACCCGAGTCCTAGGCAACCTTTTCTTTTTATTTTAAGCTCCTGTGTTACCTTGCCATACATCCCTGCTGGAGAAGCATTTTGGGGGCTCATTCTCCTTATATTCTGGAAGACTATTCCTGGGGAACCAAGGCTGCACAGACCCAGGACTTACATCCAGATGCCTGGCTTCTGCTGCACGGTATTTGCACAGTGCTTGCAGCCTCGCAGGATCCATGGTGTAGAAGCCTGTGCCAGGGCCTGTAGGTGTGAGCTAGATGGGGCTTGGTGCCTGAGAAGACAAGGCCTCAAAGAAGGAACAGCCCTGGAACTTGCCACACTTTTGACTCATCTGCAGCTCGACAGCCCCAGGCAGGAAGTAAGAACAGTACCTGAGTGACAGCAGATGCTGTGACTTCAGTTCACAGTCTCACACAGCCCGCTATCAGAAAGCAAAAGAATTTTGATTAGACAGCAGCTGACCAACTCCATGACCTGGGAAGAGACACACAGCCTCTGCAGCTCTGTTATCTTAGAAGCAGCAGATAATTGAAGGTGCACTTTGAGGAATATTGAGGTAACGTATGAATGTGCCTCTGCAGGCACCTGGCACCCCATCCACCTGACTTCAGTCAAGATGCTCCAGGATTGCCAAGGCCAGCCAGCCGCCGGGAGCATCCCGATCAGATCACTGATACAGCATTTACTGCTTCACTGAAACCACCCATTTATAACTGCTCTCTATCTCCCATTACATTCCTGAAAGACAGCAGCCCATGGCAGGTGTAGGGGTAAAATAGTCTTGGTTTGTGCTCATTATATGCACACACTGCCGGGCATAGCTACCATGCCAGAAACAGTTACGTTTCCAAGAATCTGCAAAGTGCTTACTGTCATTACATACTTTACAGAGAGTATCAGTGATGGCATTTCCAAGGTCAAATGGCTAAGCAAGGGTAGGACCCAGCATCCCCTTGCCCAGTCATCCCACTACCTTCCAAGGCAGTGGCCTTGCCCCCATTTCCAGCACCCTTGGCTAGGATGGGTATAAGATTGTACAATGACGTTCGTAATATTCTTGCCATCCCCACACAGTTCTGTGCACCTGTAATGTCAGGTAGTGGTTCTTAACCTTGGCTGTATATTAGATTTACCTGGAAAGCTTTTAAAACTCCCAGAGCCTCCCACACACACAGTGGGGTCCAGGCATCATAACTTTTAAAGCTCTCCAGGTAATTCTAGTGTGCAGTAGGGTGACCATCCCAGGTACCTCCTTCAAAAATAAGTTTACCATCCTGGGGGTATTATGACAAGTGGGTCACCCTAATGCAGTCAAGGTTAATAATCACTGCTGTGGTGGGAGATACTTCTTCTGTATTTGATTATACTTTTTATTAAACCCTTAATCATTTCATCTACAAAACTTGGTTTTTCTTTAAGCCAAAACCGGGGTGGGGGAGGGTGGATACAAAAATATACGCGTCCTTCATTTTTGTCACCGTTAGAGACCTCAAGTCCCTAGATGTGTTCAGTTACACACAATTTTTTTAATGTTGCTTGTAATACTACTTTGTTTTTTACCGTGTATTTTTTTTTAATGCTAACAAGAGCATAATTTCCCCATAACATTTCTTTTCCACATAGAGAACTGTAAGTTTGATACTTTAACACTCTGCCATTGGTCATATTCTTTCTGTTGAAAGGTCTTCTCTTAAATTGTTAAAAAAAAAAAATACTATGTAATAACTTAGTTTTCTGATATAGTCTCAGTTGAAGAGCTTCACTGTGTCAAGTCTGTCTCCAAATAACTCCTTTGTAGATGGGGCTGTGGAGGAGATCCTGGCCTCCAGCCCCCGAGGATCTCATCTGGCTGATTTGTTAAGCTAAGAGTTTCTGCTTCTCAGGAGTTTCCCGGACTCCTCTACATTCAAAGGAGTCTTAAAATAACAGGTTGACTTATTTCTTAACAGAACATGTACTGTTTGTTAAGGATAAGGTTACCTGCTGTCTGCATATACCTTTTCCTCACATCAGTGTGTAGATTAGGCATTACCATTCCTACTTTACAAGTGAGAAAACTCAGGCTCAGGGGAGGTTAATAGATCCAGATTTACACAGCTATTAAGTCCAAAACCTAGCTTTTAAACCTTGATCTTGATCTCCCAAGGTCATTGTCTTTTCCACTCTTACACTTTCCCCCTAGAAAGTAGAGGAATCAGTACAGCGACTTTCTTGTCCAACCTTCTTGCCCCATTCTGTTCCCCAAGTGATACATTTGGTTTCAGAAGGAAATCTAGAATCCCAAAAGCTATACACTTGTCAGCAACATTTGGAAGTATTTTTTTATTTTTTTTTTTTTTATTTTTGTCATTCAGGGGCCATCAGTTTGCACTTCAGTCATTTCAAAGTGCAGGGTAGTTTGGCAAAAAGAAAGTAACACTAAGTGTTTTTCTTTCTTTAGAACTATATACCCTTTCAGTTCAGTTCTGATTCTTTGTAATGGTCTGAAAGAGTTCTTGCTGAGTGAGCTACCAGCTTCTTCATAAACACCATTTACCTGGGCAGTGGTAGCACTTTACAGGCCTAATGTTGCTTCTCCCCCACCCCCCGCCCCATCAGGTGTTACTGTCTACATGCTCCTGGGCACTTTGAGGTAGAATGCTTTAAAATTTTGCTTGCTGGGAAACATTTCTTAGACCAGTCTTTGCTATAACTAAGTAGACAAAAGGAACAGAAAAAAAATCTTTGAGCCTCTCTGTTATTGGCTGAGTGCTTTGTGTATGTTCTTTTGTTTGGCTTTCCTAATTACCTTTTAAATCTGAAGATCCTAAAGCCTGTTTCCTTGACTGACAATGCACAGAGGGAATTACTTGCCTAAGGACCCCAAGACACAGGGACAGAATCACAGTTTGAACTGCAAACCTTCTAACTCCATTCCCTTTGCTCATAGTACTGCAGCTCCATCCCTGCACTGGCAGTGGGTTTGGTAGAAGCACCATGTAAGGATTCCTGGAGAGAGCGTCCTGACTCTGATTCTCCATCCAGAAATGATGTGGCCAGTCAACTACTACTACTTAGTTTGGGGGACATCTCAGGAACCAAAACTAGGTGTTGATGCCGGTGGCATGTATGTGCTGTAATTGGCTGGCCACCTCTCACATTACCATCTAGCTTGTAAATGTCCTTGCACTTACAGGGATATTTCACGGTTTAGCTGGGCTCGGAGAGGACCAGGGAATTCAGTAACTAGCTTATACATAAACCCAAGTTGTAGTGAGTCCTCCCTTATGTGGTTCTTGCATCTTTTCACATTAGCCACTTTGCCTTTAAGACTAGGTCTTGGCTCCAGAGGTAAATTATGTTTTAGGCTATACAACCCAGTAACTGTAATTAAAATCATGATGTGAGATTCAGTGTACATTTGGGAAAAAGCAGTCGTTAGGCAGTGAAGAAGAATGTATTTTAGACCCTTTGACTATTCAGTCATTGGCATGATTTCTTTATTTTTTTTTAAGAGTTTATGATGTGTAACTGGCCTAAACACTTTACATCACATTGTCACATAATCTTCATGACACACCTGTGACATAGGGACTGTAAACAGGAATCAGACAGTTGGCCCCAGGTCACACACCTAGAAAGGGATGGCACTGGGATTTGAATCCCTGTACTATGATTCCGGAATCCACAGCTTTAAATCGTGTCACTACTTCTCTTCTAATTCTGTTGAGCATTTGACGTTTCCAGTATTTAGAAGTGCAATGCTTCCATCTTAATGAGAACTTTATAACCCTCATGGTTTTTATAGGCTTTTCTTTTTAATAGGTTTTTATAGTGTCACTGACCTGGTGTCTAACAAACTTAGTCTTTTTCTCCATCCATCTGCATAATAAACTTAAGAAACCAGGCCAGGTGAGCTCAAAATCAAAAGGAAAAGGCAGCAGCAGGGAATGCTGCACGGCCTCTCCCTAGGAAGAGACAAGACTCAGGAAGCACATTTATGACAAACCATGCCCTTCTCTTTGGGGTGTGTCAGTCATCTTTAGCTGATGCTGTGGATAATTCTGCATTAAAAAGCTCATTGCGTGCTGTGAAAAAAATAGACAACTTAGTATTCATTGGACATTTTATTTATTCTGTCCACGATTAATAATACTAAGTATTTTCTGTGCTTTTGAAAGCCCTCTTAAGTTATCTTTAAAAATATTTGTATGTTTCTAGTCCTAGGAGGTCAAATGCAGAGGTTTTGGGATAGAGACATGAGTTTGAAAGGTAGATCAACACTGAAACTGCAGTTTACTGAGCGCCCTTCCAGTGTCGGGCATGCACGGCTTTTTATCATCTCATGTAAGCTTCAGTAATCAGCCCCCTGGGCAGTGGTTTGCCAAGAGGACCCAGCTTCCCAGTGGTTGGACCCTTTGTGAGCCAGACAGAATGAGTTGCAGGAAGGGAGTGGGCTTGCGAGCCGGTCACTCGGGTGCACCTGCAGCGACGTCAGATGAGCTCATGTGTGGCACCAGCAGCAAAGGCATCTTAGTTCTTCCCTGCCATTCACCGCATCCATTCACACCTGTCATGGGGTGCACTCAGATCTCCCCCCCGCCAACAGTTAGCCACAAGCACAGCATCTTTGTCACCTGAACTGAGGAAGTGCCGGCGTAGAAACACTGCATTATCTTGAGAATGGTTTAGAAGCCAGGAAGACACTTGGAAACAGGTGACTGTAATCCGAATGTGGCTTAGATGTCTTGCCTCCCATTAAACATATTTGCTAATCACAGCCTCACGCTTCCTACTGGCACTTGCTCCTAAGGATTCTTAACTCAGAATAACTGGCAAGATAGTTTTATGGAGACACATCTGAGAGGACTGCGCTCCTTCAACGCTGTAGATGGCTTGGTTCATTCCCTGGGGACTTTCCTCCATCAGGATGCACTCCACTTCTTGCCAAGTATGTGATCTTACCGTCCAGTCTGTCTGAGATTTCAAGTTTTCGGTTTTAGGAGAAATAATGTCTACAAGTTTTAAGAGGACTTGGAAAGAAAATGGCAAAACAGTTTTCTATAAATTTTGAAGAATCCCGGAGACTGGGAAAAGTGCTGGAAAACTAAAAATGCACAGTTGGAATCCTGGTTTGGTGAGTCTTTAAGTGGAGGAATCTCGTCTGAAGATTCTTGAGAATTTCTTAGAATTAATATGTAAGATGTTGAAGTAGTTGGTAAACAGGTTGTGCCTGGCAAGTGAGTTACTTCTTTCCTCCCCTTTCTGCCTTCCCGTCCTCCTGTCCTCTTGTCCCCTCCCTCTCTCTAGATAGTAGGATTACAGGGCTAATAGATAGCAGATTTGATATCAGCTGGTATGCAGATCTTTAGAACAGAATTGAGAACCAAGGACTAAATGAGAAAAGGTGTGCAGGTTGATCATGGTTCTATCAAGAGGGATGAGGATGTTTGTAGCCCCAGAAACAGGATATAAGAAAGTTACAAGGACAGTGGTTTCATTTTCATTTAAGGGCAAATTCTCAACAATGAGAACTATGGGACAATAAAATTAGGAGCCTAAAGACGGGAGCAGTTTTGTTTATGGCAATATTAGACCATCAGTTGCATGATCAACTGGTGAAGATGACTTAAAGGTTTGAAATGTTGCTAGCAGTTTCTTCCAGTGATTTCTAATACTGGCTTTTCACCACAACTCACTAGCATAGGGGTAAGTCCAGAATTGTCTGTCTCACCTGTGACACTGAGACTCCTCCACATTTGGGAGCCACTGGACCAGTCCCTAACATAACCCAGTATGTTAGAGTCCCTTTTCACCTGTGCATTCTTGGAGCCATGGTTTTCTTAGCTTCTGGCCACACATCTCGTTCCATTTTTGTTTTATTTTTATTTTTTGTTTTTGGTTTTTTTTTTTAAGATTTTATTTATTTATTTGACAGAGATCACAAGTAGGCAGAGAGGCAGGCAGAGAGAGGCGGGGAAGCAGGCTCCCTGCTGAGCAAAGTGGGGCTCAATCCCAGGACCCTGGGATCATGACCTGAGCTGAAGGCAGAGGCTTTAACCTACTGAGTCACCCAGGTGCCCCTCTTGTTCAGTTTTAATGGGATGAAAATGCCCATGTGAACACGTTGGCAATAGCAGTATTCTCAGATGATAGAATCCTGTGATTTCAGGGTTCAGCACTGGGAGACTAGGCTTGGAAATCACGTAGATAAATGTAGGTAAATAAGCAGGTGCGAAAGGGTGACTTGATGAGGAATAGCAGAAGTTCTGCTTCTAGAAGTTCTGGTACTAGTATTGTCCCTGGGGTCTCCCTTCACTAAATCCAGTTTACAACTCTGGAAAATGAAGTGCATGGGAGCTTCTACGAGTGACTCCTAAAACTTCCACCTGTTGTGTATGCCAGGAGTGCAGTGGGAAATGGAAGTCCTTGTCTTTGTCCATTACCAGTTTGCTAGCTGGAGGCATTTGCACGTCTTGCCCTCTTCACAGTCCTCTTCCATAGGTATGTGTTCAAACACTAAAGGCAGAGGGAGCGCCTTGTGACCCCACGGGCCTCTGCCGACTTGCTGTCTAAATATTACATACACATTCATGGTGCGGCAAGTCTGATTGAGTCCTAGATGCCACCAGGGTTCTGCTGCATACTGGGAATTACCTTTGAAAGGAAGCAGCTCTCTTTTGCAAAAGCAAAATAGGGAAAGACAAGTGTCAAAGAAAATAAACCCTGTAGTCAAACATGGTATGTTCTTAAGTGGTCCTTTCCAAAAATGCTTTTAAAGACAGGTTTTATGCTGGATTTGAATATGACTTCTCTTGACCCAACAGAAGGGCCTTCTGCTCCCACAGGTTGGCCTTTTAGACTTGAGTTTGCGTGGCTCTGGGCCTGTGAGCACTGTGCCAGAACAAAGCTTCTAATCCCCCCTCATATTGCTGCTCATCATTGAACAGACACTCACTGGGTATGTCTGTATGCCTCTTGACACTTAGAGAAGCACTTTGAAACTTCAGAAGTGTTCTCTTACACTCTCGAGCGTTTTAGTCATCGTGGCAGCGCTGTGGGAGAGGTTGGATAAGTGTCCTTCATTCTAATTGCCAGATGAAAAAATTGAGGCTCAGAAGGCTTCAGTGGATTTTAGAAGGTCATAAAATAAAGGCTTTTTAGCAGATCCCCAAATAGAATTTTTTTGTTTGGCTCCAAGTTCTTATATGTTTTGGGAAAAAAGCATGTGTACTTAAAGGTAACTCTTTATAGAAGTCGTCGTCAGCATTACACCTGTTGTGGCACTTGCTGTAAGGACATTTGCGTCTCTGCCACCACTGCCCGGGCTGCCACCACCTCTCAACTCAGCCCCCCATACTGTCATTCCACCCTCACAGATACTTGTCCATGCAGCGGCTGGGGGCTTTGTGGGGGTACAAATCACAGCAGGCCAAGTCACTGTTCCAGTCTCCCCTGTTATCTGTATCAGGGACAGGAAAAGCCACATCCTTACGACTCGGCTAGAGCTTTCCTTGATCGGCACCCCTACTGCCTCTGACCATGTAGACTGCTCCTCTTCCCTCCTCTCCTCACTCAGTACCTTCTGTTCTCCACCTCCTTGCCATTCCTCAGGTGGTCCAGGCCCACATCCCATAGACCTTTGCCTTCTCTCTGCCGGAAACTCCTTTCTCCCAGACAGCCCAGTCCTTGCTCCCTGGCCACCCCGAGGTCTCTGCTCAGAGGTCAGCCTAACGGGAGGCTCTCCTGACTCTCCACATCATTCCATGCCAGCCCTGCAGCCTCATTACCTACTTACTCCCTGGCCCCTGGCCTGGCTTTATGGCTGTATTTTTATCAATTACTCATCACCACCTAAGAAATAACTACGTTGCCTGTTTCCCCTCTCTAGACCCTCCTGATGTACGGACTGATCCTGGGTTTTGCTCACTGCTGGCTCGTAATAGATGCTCAGTAAGATGTTGATGGAATCAGTGTCTGTCTACCCAACATTGCCGGTGTATTACTGATTTCTTACATTTGTGAAAGCAAATGAAGCAAATGAGAGAACTGGGAATCCAAGCTGCCAGTTAGCTTTCATATAGAAACAAATGAACACCAGAGCCGAAGCCCTGGCTCTCTCCACCACTGGATAATTTGTGTGTGTAAAGTTGAAATAGCACCCTCCTGCACAAAGCTTTATTCAGGCTAATATGAAATTATACCTGTGAAATCGCTGGGATGCTGTCCGTGACCCTTAAAAATAACTGTCACGTATCAGGGGCTCTTCTGAACAACAGCTGTGGTTTCCTTGCTGCCAGCCTGTTATGGTTGGTCTAAAGGGATGAGTTTTAGGCGGCTGAATTTAAAAATGTCTTCCATTTAGGCTTCTTCTTTGCCATTTCTGTTGTATTACGTTTTAATGTGAATTTGTGTTTAAGAAAATATGTCAAGATTTAGCGTAAAAATCAAAGGTCATTGAAATAGAGGATACGTGTGGAAATAGCTTAACTAAACCTTAAGTTCATGTATTAACTGTGCTTTATGATGTCTTTTTTTTCCCCTCCTTTAGTGTTAACTGGACTATCAGAGAATTGAGAACAATCCTATTTGGGGATCATACACTGACTATGGTGGTTTATAAACAAGGATAACTGATGACGCCCCCCAGGAAGTCACTGCTTCTCTGCCAGTCACGAAGTTAAATGAAGGATGGCCCCTAAGGGTTTTATCATGTGAAGTCTTCCTGAATTTTCTTGCTCTCTCTTTTTGGAAATGCAAATAAAGAAGATGAAGGATATTGGACAGCAGTTATATACCACTCAAGTGAATGATGGACATAATTCCTTGACCATGTCCCCCAAACAACCAAATGCCAATAGAGCCACTCGACCAGATAGACAAGAAGCGCAAGCTCTCTTGTGTCAAGGCTCGGAGGCAGAGGCTGCCATGATGACCATCGCTACGTGTATGAAGTGCAAGAGTGTTGACAAAATCCTGCTTCAAGATTTGAAAAAGGGTACTGGGCCAAGCCAGAAGGAAGACAAATACGTTTGCTTCAGATGCAACCTTAGTGTGGCCACTTCCCATTTCCATTTTGTGAATAGTAATCCCAGTGCTACTCATGTAGGAAATAAAGCTGAAGCCATCGCCAGTTCCATCAATAACAAATTTAAGGTAAGGAACTTTAAGCCAGGCAAATACTATTGCGATAAATGTCGATTTTCCACAAAGGACCCTCTCCAGTACAAAAAGCACACGCTCCAACATGAAGAGATTAAATTCATCTGTTCTCACTGCAGCTACATTTCCTACACAAAAGGGGAGTTCCAGAGGCACCTGGTGAAACACACAGGCATATTCCCTTATCAATGTGAGTACTGCGACTATGGTGCTATTCGGAATGACTACATTGTCAAACACAGGCGCAGAGTGCATGAGAGGGCGGGGGGACGGCGACCGCCCAGAACTGTTGCCAAGCTGGAGCCAAAAAGAATCAGCACATCAAAACAAAACACAGAGCTCCTAAAAACTCCCAATCCAAGGACTGCATTTCAAAATAAGTTGTCAGATCAACTCTCAAGGTTCTCCCTCCATACAAATAAAGACAAAATGCACAATATCATGTTGTTGCCGGAATCAAAGGAATACCAAAAAGATGTAGTGTGTATTCCAAATAAAGTGACCCTGATGGAGCCAAATGAAGGCAGTCTGTTTGAGAACAAAAGCGTGGAGGTGGAAGTGTTGTCCCCAGCGAAAGAGCCCGTCCAGCCAGGAATGCCGTTGACAGTGGTGGCACCAGCAGAACTTGTGGTCCCTGCCAACTGCTTGGCCCAGCTGATCGATGTGAAGGTCGTCAACGGGACCCAGCAGCTTGTCCTGAAACTGTTTCCTCTGGAAGAAAGTAACCGCCCCGAAGCTGGTGGGGGTGAAGGGGGTCATTCTGAGCATATGATTAAAGAGAAGGGTTCGGCTGAACCAGAAAAAATGGTTTCTGCAAGCCAAACAAAGTCACTGGTGATTGAAGGGAATGTTGGAAAACTGGCAGGCACTGATCATCTTCAATCGTCAGTTCAGAAACAACTTAAAAATGTGAAGTGGGTCAGGTCTTACGATTTTTTCATGTCAAATTCTAGTGTGCACAATCGAGAATCCCTTCTCTACCCAGATACAGTTGAGGACTTCCAGAAAAAAAGTAGTATCTATCCACATAGACCAGCTCTTCCTTCTCTCTCTTTAAGAGGTCATTCTCCAGCATCTGTAGTAAAAAACAGTGTTTTCCACAGTTTCAGAGCTGCATCAAACCCTTTTCCATATAAAGCTGCTGTTTCTTTTGCTGAAGATGGAAGGAACTCACTTGGTGACTCACAGCAGTTATATCCCCTGGCTGCGTCACCTGCAACCATGTCCTTCTCTGGAGAAAAGGGCTTGTTGCCTGTAAGTACAAGTAACTTGGAATCTAGACATGAGATCAGTATTCCTATAAAAATGGTTCCCTCTCATAGGAAGTTGAAAGACAAGCAGACCGAGGAACACAAGGCAGTTTCAAACACAGGCCAGATTTCTTCCCAACATAAAAGTGAATATTTACACGTAAATATACCAGGAGAGGATGGAATCAGGTCTCAGCCGCCTGTGGAGGAGCCTTTAGAATTAAAGAATCCTGAAAGGACTAAGGACTCTTTCGATGGTCCAGTCATCTCGTCAGTATTTTCTCTGAGCTCTGGGTCTGAAAACGTCCCTGAGGGCGTTAAGTGGAATAGTTCAACATCCAAAATAAAGTCCATTGAACTCTTGCGCAGGAAGATTGCTCAGTTGATTGAATCCTGTGGCAAGCCGTCATCTTTGTCTGCAAATAACGCACATCGCCGTTCTGTAGGGCAGGCATCGAAGGGAACTTCGCAAGCTGCTCCTGAAGGTATTCACGAAATTAACGTGTCATTTGCCGGCACTGCCTATTCCACAGGCACACTCCCGAAACCTCAGGAAGACGGTGGTATCAATGGGCCGCTCACTCCTCAGCAAATATATCCACAGTTTATAGAAGGCAGCAATGGGAAAACTGAAAGCAGAGTGACCAGGAAGGCCCATGTTACTACTCCAGTATTGATCCCCAAAGGGGCTGTGTTGAGGGTTCTTAATTCTTCTGAGGATACCCACATTATAGAGGCAACGTGTGAAGCACCGGTCAGCATACCTTGCCGTGAGACCCAGTTAATAAAACCCATTCCGTTCTGCCCAGTGAGACCGACAGACTCAGACTTACCGTCTTTGACAAGTGAAAGTGGGCCCATAGATATGTCCCAAAATCTTGATATACCTCTTCGGCCAAAACCAAGAAAAGAGAGTGCTTTTTGTAGCACCATGCCTAAAAAAACTGGCCCCCTGCACGGTCAGCAAGGAAGCAGTGAACTGAGTAAGCAAGGCAAACCGCTTTCTAGAAGTCTTCCTATAAGTAAAAACAAAACCAAACAAGTGAATTCATCCAAGAAGAAAAGCAAAATCCAGGCTGATCCCAGCCGCTATCTCAAGGATCCTTCAATTTTTCAGGTTGCAAGACAGCTTCGACTGATTGCCGCAAAGCCAGACCAGTTGATTAAATGCCCCCGTCGGAACCAGCCCGTCATCGTGTTAAACCATCCTGATGTTGACTCTCCAGAAGTCACCAACGTGATGAAGGTAATCAATAAGTACAAAGGCAATGTCCTCAAAGTCGTCCTATCAGAGAGGACGAGGTGTCAATTAGGCATCAGAAGGCATCATGTTCGCCTGACATACCAGAACGCAGAGGAGGCCAATCAGATAAAAAGGCAAATGATGTTGAAAATGAAGCTTAAGAAGGTGCATAAAAACAACTACCAGGTGGTGGATTCCTTGCCTGATGACTCATCGCAGTGTATATTTAAGTGCTGGTTTTGTGGGCGGCTTTATGAAGACCAGGAGGAGTGGATGAGTCACGGCCAGCGGCATTTGATAGAGGCAACTAGAGATTGGGATGTTCTTTCTTCCAAGGGCAAATAAGTAAAAAATGGTCTTTGAAGCAAATTGTTTTTCTTACTTTTAGTTTATTCTAGTTTGTTTGTTTTTCCCCTCCCTCCCTCCCTGGCTCAGTGGAAGAAATGCAGATTGTAGGAATGGAAGGATCATTCATTTTTCAGAAACCTTGTGAGAATGTTGAGAGCCAGGAATCTTAACCTGAGATGACTGACCGGACCTTGGCAGGTGTCTGTAGCCCCCGGAATTGTATGCACAGATCTATGTACATGTGTTTTTCTGGAGAGAAGTGAAACTTCCAGATTTCCAGTTGAGATCTGAGATGTCTTTGTATAGCACCCCTTTTTTCTGAGTAGAAACAAATCTGGTGATCTGTTTAGGGTGTTCCACACTATGCTCTTTATTCAAAATGCTACTGAGGAATGAAACCCATATCTTGGTGTACACATCCATTTTTCTCTGCACTAACTCGTGCTGAATATTTGATACATAATGGAAATCATACTTTCTACTTCGTTATCTTAAATTGGACTATAGAAAAGTGGCTCTTCCTTGAAATTCCTCACCCACTGGGCAGTACTCAGAAGTGTTGTCTCTAGCACAGAGCATTAGCTTTGCTTGGCCACTTGAAAGAATGATGCCAAGGGTTTGCCTGAATTTATTACTTCAGCAATAGATGTTCGGGGAGGAAAGAAACATTTTCAAAGCTTTGCTTTCTTTTTAAATGTCCTGATTTATGACAGCTAGGGAGGGATTGTGCCTTTTAAAAAAAAAAAAAAAAAAGAAGAATGGTCACAGAGGTAAAATATCCAAAATTAAGGCTCCTGTGTGCCCTTACCACCCTCACAAACGTAAGGTAACTAGTTTAAAATGTGAATGAACAGGCTTCTTATGACATAGGTAAAACTGGGGAAGATAGTTCAAGGTAGGACTGTGAAGAAAGTTATGACTTTATCGTGATCACTGGTTTCCTTTGAGAACTCTCAGACCAGGGCGAAGGCTGCATGCACTTTCTCCACCACTTAGGATCTCAGACACTGCCCCTCCCCCCGCCCCCAGCTCAGAGCCTGCTCTTCCTCTGCCAGTTTTCTGAACAGGCTCTCCTGTGGAGTGAGACACTTCCCTATTCACCTCCTGTCCCCTTCCTTTTGTGCTTTTGAGGCCCCTTAAGGCTTTCCCTCATGAAAATCAACAAAATAGAAACATCCACCATCTTCGTTGAGGTTACAGAAACACTATTCCTGGTTTTCACTGATAGTCACAATCTGCTTCTAACTTCTCTTTTCCACAGTCTCTTCTCCCGATCGCTCACCTTTCCTAGGTAGTAACTCTTGAGAACACCTGCTTCCCTCTCCACCGATAGACACCAGCACCACGGCTGGTCCACAGGACACCTTGTGTGCATTAGGAAAAACTCCTTCCGCACTTTTACCACCTCGTGGGCAGATTGGTGGCCTGGCAGAGGGAGCTGGGGTTGGATCTCATCCTCACTCGCCCACTCCACCAGGCAACAACCATCACACAGAACACACCCACGCACCCTGAACGCCACAGGGTGGCTCCAGCTCTGTTTTCCTCCCCCCTTTAAGACTGCTCCATCCTTAGGGAATTCGTTAGTGCAGTGAATGGAACTGGGGGCTGTTATAACTGGAAAAAACTTGAGTGAGATTTCCATTGTGCTGGTTAGTTGGAACTTTCTGTGTTTGTTTTGTTTTGTTTTGTTTTTACACGCGTGAAAGTCTTAGACTATTTTCTGATAGGTGGAATTGTAATTCTTTACAATTGGTTCTCATTACAGTTAATCAGCATTTCTTATGTCTAATTAAATGCATGGTCATTAAGTTGGCTAATTGGTTAATTTTTATTGAAATTTAAAACTTGGGTTTTTTAGATGTGTATATATGCATGTGTGTACACATATAAATATTTTTTACCATATGAAAACCGCAGTAGCTAATTTTCTGATTTCCTATTTTATAATGAAATTATGTGAGCTGGAAAAACAGAAGACATTTTATATTCTAGAAATTATTTTGGAAGCACATTTTTATAATGGTGTGATCTCATTTTTAAGAAAATGAAAGCACAAGTAAGTGATGAGTCTGGTTTCTACGAACAAACAGGAGTAGAAACCCCTGAGGATCATTCTGTTGCAGTATTTCATCCCCGCGCATTTCTAGTTGGTGCTTTCCAGGAACTGGATCCCGCGTACCACTTCACCACATAGAGGAGAACGCTGCAATGTGAGCCGTGTGTAGATGTGTGCCATGCCGGCAGAATGGAAGGCTCCTAAAATACTGAGAAGAAAAGGCTGTGATTTTTTTTATTTTTTCTCCTTCTATACCTCACTGCTTAGTAGCATCTTTCTTGAGAGGCTAGAGCATGACCTTTCAAGAAAAGTGACCATGAATCAGGTCAGAGTGTTAAGTGTCAACATGAAATATTTATACTTTGCAGCATCAACCGTTTTTCAAGTATTACCTAAAACTCAGCTTATGTACTTGTATGGAGCTAAATTTTATGAGTAGACTACGTAGCAAAGTTTTTTTTGGAGATTTCCAGAGCTACAACACTTTTTTGAGGAATCCTGAAGGCTCCTGAAAGTCATAAAAAATGAGAAAGCAAAACATGACTGTCCTCCCTATATGAAGAACTTTAGGAAATAGCTTGTTAACATGTAGGTAAATGTCAGGAAACATTTCTAACAAAATTGAACAAAGTAGGAGTAGAACCATGTTGAGTATTTACATACTCCTACCTTGATTTTGAAGGACCTGTACTCGCTAAATTTTATTAATAGTACTTACTAATAAAATTTTACACTTATTTCTTAGAGTTTCTTATTTTGGGGGGCCAGAAGTGAGACGATCTTGTTATAGTTATGACAGAGTGAAAATTTAAAAAAAAAAAAAAACTCATAGTCTCATAGATAATATTTTACCCAGATTTTTATCCCCTCCCCAAAACATTTTATGAGCCCTATTGTGGGCCAAATGCTGTTTGTTAAACTAAACTGAACACAGTATATTAACCCTCAAAAGCTCCATCCCTCTTTCTTGATGACCTAATAGGTGTAAACCATCCCTGGAAACAAAGATGTGGCGTTGCTTGGCCTTTGGAATAATTTTTGAATCTGTAAATGTCAATTTGAGCAGAAAACAAACATTGACACGTTGTAAGCATTATTGTAAGTCCTGTGTGAACAGTTTGTGTGTCTGCTGCTCTGGTTTTGAAACACGTTTGTATATAGATATAGAAGTTGGCGTAAATTTTGTTAAATAAAGCAACCGTATAACATTCTCTGTCCTTTCATTTCAGTGTTCAGGGGGCTATTCATGACATAGTCTATCTTGTGGGATAGGTCTCTCAAATATGGAAGGTGTCCTTCTGTACAGCACAGGTCCCTTGAGTTCTAGAGGGTATATTTTGAACTCAATGCACTGCTGGCTAGCCATGCATACTCTGAAATGACACCAGGTCCCTTTTTTCTTTTGCTCTGCCTTAAAGTCACAAGAGGTGCTGGTTTGGGCAGCAGTAACAATTTTCATCTCATGGTCTGTAGCCTGGTCAGAGATGGTATATGGCCACTGCACCTGCCTCTCAGCTGGGAGGGGTCTGGGGTGAGAGAGCTCCCAAGTGGTTGATGAGCCTGCTGGACCTGTGGACAGCTGCACTGTGCCCTTGTCTGTCCAAACATCCTCTCATCTGGTTCCATGCATACCTGGGAGGAAAGAGGATGAGGATGTTCAGGGCAGGGGTGGGGAGGAGGGGTTCCCTCATTTCTTTCCAAGGAGTCAAAAAGGGAAAAGGAGAAATGGACTTGAGTTTTGGCAGATCCTAAGGAAAACATAAAGAGATGTGAGTTGCTTAAATTCAGCAGTTTGCTGTTCTCGTTTGTTACTGAGAGGAAATGTCATCCTCCATCCTATAGATCTAGTCCAATAAGTTGTTGCCTTTGGTTATTTGGGGGGAAGTGGGAATCAAGGTGGTGGAAGTCTCAAGGGGGGTTTACACTGGGTGTGGACGACCAGAGGGGGCTGCGGAGTGAACAGAGAAGGGGCCTGAGCAGAAGCCGATGTCCAGGCCAGAAAGCAAGGGAGGGGCAGTCGCTAAGCCACATTGTATTGTGAAGGAACCTCAAGCTCCAGAAAGATGAACGTTTACATGAAGCTGAGCGAAGTCATGGGCAAGCTGGGGTTTTAGCAGGAAGCTCCAGGCATCTGAAAAGCTTTTTGCTTTGCAACATGTGTAGAGCCCTTTGCTGCCACCAATTACACTCAGTAAGAACTGACTTCTCGAGAGTCTAGCAGGGGTCAGAGCCCTTAGCTGGAGCGAGATAGTGTTCTGGGGAATGCGTGCTTCATCTAGAATGGTGCTGCCCAGTAGGGATATATGTGAGCCACATATGGAGTCTGAGCTTTCTGGCAGCCACATTTAGGAGAATAAAAAGAGCGGGTGACGTTAAATGTTTTATTTGATCCAATACGTCTAAAATATTGGAACATTTTCAGTAAAAATAAAATGGAAGTATTTCATGTATATAAGCACACACATATAGACACACTGCTTAAAACACAATCTTTAGGGGCGCCTGGGTGGCTCAGTGGGTTAAAGCCTCTGCCTTCGGCTCAGGTCATGGTTCCAGGGTCCTCGGATCAAGCCCCGCATCAGGCTCCCTGCTTGGCGGGGAGCCTGCTTCTCTTCCTCTCTCTCTGCCTGCCTCTCTGCCTACTTGTGATCTCTGTCTGTCAAATAAATAAATAAAATCTTAAAAAAAAAAACACACACAATCTTTAGAAACCTGGTATATATCTTCAACTTACAGGAGGTTTAAATTTTAATGCTAAATTTTCATTTATAATGAAATGTCATCTCACCAAAGCACTTCAGCTGTGTTTAATGGCAAGATTTTTAACAGCTTCCATTTTTCTATTGAAACGAGAAATTCAGTTCTTCAGGCAACCTAGCCACACCAGATGTTCACTACCCACGTGTGTCCAGTGTTTACCACGCTGAACCACCTAGGACTGGGTAAATCATACCGTGTTGTAAATATCAGCTTGCTTGTCTGAGCTCCTTGACAGGAAGAAATGGGTTTTATTTATCCATGTATCTCTAAAACTAGGGTAGGCCAGGTGAGGTCCCACTAACTCACATTAACGACACGCCCGCTCTGTGCCCAGATTCCGCATCCATGCCCCGCCCTTCCATCCCTAGACCTGTACCTACCTTAGAGAAATGGTTGCACATGTGACTTTTTAAAGTCAATTAAAATTCATTTTGCAGCCTTAGCTTGTCAACCAAACAAGAATTTATTTCTCATTGACACTGCACCCACCGTGCCAGGGAGGGGGGGGTCCCATCTTGTAGCAGCAC